GACTTCATAGACTGATGTCATGTTTTAGTCTGGCTGCATCCAACCTAACATTGCGTGATGAGACACTTGTTGGTAACTAGAGTTGTATAACACACATATTAGCATCTTGGTCGATAAACGTTCACAATCTCAACAAACGACTTTGGCAGCTCCACCCAAAAACGTACACCTGTCTTTTACGTTACCGAAATGTTTGCACCGCATTACCGCCTATTTTACAAGGGCAACCCATGTCCAGCACACGACACCTCATTTCTTCGCCCCTAACAGCCATACTGTAGAACAGACAGAACTGCAGTGTAGTACAAGTGGGGCTTAATACGTAATTGGATATCATGGCAGCGCCATAAATGGCGTAGTTTGGTGAAGACCAGTTCAGCTTTTTAAATCCAAGCGGAGATTTTGTCGGTCAATGAAATGCCTGGACTGATCCAAATTCCCATGTAACGGATGCAACACACTGATTCAGTCACCAATTAAACGAAGTTTTTTTGCTTCAACTGTATCGCTTTCTGAAGTTTTACAATCATCTTTATATCCATTACAAATGTAGATTAAAAGGAAGGGTAGAAGTACGTAATTATATGAGAAGTTCAAGACTGGTATACTTTATCACCGCATAAGCACAGTTTACAGTTTCATCTCACCAGATTGCCAAAGTTTGGTTTTGTATTTATCGAGTTCTTCAATTGTTAAACAAAAGATCAAAATTTGTTTCTTTTCCTCTTTGGATTTCTGACTGTTACGAGTAGACCGAAGGAATTAGTTGGAAATCAATCCAGTCTGATCAACACTGAAATTTTCCAGCACAAGAAAGTGTTTTCTTCGGTTGATCGTTGTATTTTCCTTAAAACATTAAAAAAAGTGGGAAATTTAGGGAATTGATATCTCATTTTCGAAAGTCGCATGCATATATGCTTACTGCTCATAAAGGGCTAATTTTTGTCAAGAAATAAACATAGTTGGTGATGCTGATAAGAGTGTTAGCAATAATCCTGCCAGAAACCTCTGAATTACACAAGGAAGGGTATAAGTAATGCTAGAAAATCAGTAAAAATTGCGTATCAATGAAGGATGGATGCGAAATCAATAAACACTAGTTTCTGTTATTCGGCTGAGAACTATGAGTAATTAGAAATCAGTTAACTTGCTAAACGAATTTATGTATTCATATCGAAGAAATCTAAGCACTGGGAAACTGTTTCATTTCTTCCAAGTCGAGTTCATCAGTGGTACATCAGGATGAATTCATCGTAATGAGTTGCCCGGGGTATTTTGAATAATCTGAATCTAGTTAACTGTCCTGTATGGAGTAGTATGCCATATAATGGCTGATCTATTTCAGTCTTGTAAATATTTTGCAAAACCGGTGATATTTCAGTTTTCTTTCTTTGAATACCTAATAAGTTCAATGCCAATTGAACAATCCTTAAAACACCATTGAGCGTCTTCATAGAATATTGCTATACGTTTGGACACATTAAAGTCCCAGAAACTCATTAACGAAATAAAGTTTTATTGTCTATTGTATTTCATTTTTAATAGTTTGTATTGTTCTCTCCTCTGACTTACCTCTTACTTTTAATTCCATGAATCCTGTTTATTTTTAATAATTTCAAAGTAGTTTCATCACGACTTCACATTAAATAGTGAAACATTATAGATCAGAAAACACTAAACGGCAGTTTCGTTCTTCTTCAGGATTCCTGACCCACAGAAAACTAATTATCATTCAAAAACAGAGGGGAAAACAACTAAATATGTAGGCATACTTTGCTGATTGATACTTATAACCCCAAGACCTAAGTTGAGTATGTACTGTTGATGGAGCAGTAGTAGCTTACATCAAGCTTGACCTTAGAAGTGTGATATCTTGTGTAAATCATAATGTTTACGTAATCTACTCTGTCCTTTTGCACAGTTTATCAAACATTTTTATTCCTCCTTATCTTCTGCTCTTCTACACTATTTTTCTTAACTGTGTTATCCACTTTATGAACAAAGAATTATTCTTAAGTATTGTATTATTTTGTATAGCTTCTAATATTATCTTAAGAATATCAGGTTTATCTTAAATCATTTATAACAAACCAGATATGTTTTCTGCCTTCATTTCCGTGGTCTGACATAACTTACAGACTAAGTCTTTTTTAACTAAAAGTAATAACTGATCCAAATCACTTAACTTAAGAAAACTATAGGGATATATGTGATATTCAGAGAAATAAGACTGCGATAAAAAGAATGATAATAGTTGACATGAAGTATTAAGTGAGGAATAATATAGAAAAGCCTTTTCAAACCTCTTTGTGATGTACAAAGGCATTAGTAGAACTACCTGTAATAAAGAGGGTAGGAAGATGCCTATCTGACGTTATCTCCACCTGTGTCTAAAGCTTCACAAATACCTATCAAAGCGCTTAAAGTGGTAGGTGTGGAGATAGCACTCAATCTAACTTTCAGATATGTTCATAGGTGCTTGGTTTCAGCATGTTTAACCTCTTGAAATCTAGACGTTTCATTATTCAAGGTGGGTTTGTCAATTGCTTCTACAGTTATCAACAAGCAAAGCAATTTATCTTTATTTTATGGAACAGACCACATAGTTGCTGATAAAAAGACTGCTGTTAACGTGATTTTGAATTGGTAACAGCTTACTGATGTAATTATGTAACCTTTGTGGGACTCCCCTTAAGCCCATAAAAGTAAGCATTCGCCTATTCAGGTGTATAGCTATCTTCCATTCAAATGGATGTTTTATCTCTCGGATAAAATTGTGTGAAACTACATGTAAATTTGATGAACTCAACACACAAAAATTACAGTTCCAATGGTTTGATTCATGGAACGAAATACCTAGTTCCGATCGCATCTAACAATTCTGACCATTTCAATTGCTGCATGGACTATCTAGATAGAAAATCCAGCACTTAAGATTTCCTATCAAAGTATCAATAGTCCAACAAGTTCATTAGGTTCCTCAATCACTCGACTATATGGTCTACCCATAGTAAACACAGGTGTTCCCCTTCATCCGATACTATATATGACCAATTCTCTTTACTATTTTGTTGCAAAATGGCCTGTCAAGACACTGGGTCAGATAAAGAATGAAATTTCGAAACACAAAAGACCTACAACCCTATCACTTTTTCTATATATATATTATACATTCCTATGTATTAATCAATTTCCTTTCTAGGTACTTCTCTGTAATAAATTTTCCCGTAAATCACATGCTAAACTGCGTGAATCATCTTCGCAATATCTCCTTTCTGTTTCATCGCAATTCACTCATTATCGTAATCACTTCCATTCAACAGGAAGTATATACTTATTTCGTAGTTATTCTTGGCTCTTTAGGGCCTTGAAATAAACTGAATTCATTGAACACACTTGATTCATTATTGCTTCAACAAAGAAACAATAATTCCTGGTAAATATGAGAGTTTTTATAAATAGGTTTCATCTTCTACATAGAGATAACGTTATACGAATAATACATCATACGAACCTTATTTAATTCAAAGTGGACATTATCAGCACCAAATACTGGTAGATTTTCAATACCAATACTCTGAGATTCAATGGTCAACCTTTCGTAGACCTTTTATTTCAGATAAACTGCTATTCTAGGCACTTTTTACTCTTCAATATGTTTACTTATTTGTCTTTTGTTGTGAATACTTACAAGTTGGCATTGTAACCCAATTAATTATTCAAGATTGGTTATGTGCTAGTAATAACAGTCTTTTAGTCATTGATGTAGGTTACTTAAAAAAATTGGGAAGATACTTGAAAATTGTTTTGCTGATTCTAGGGAGAAAATAAAAAAATCCAGCTGGGAAGCCTTTATATGATCATTAAGTCTAGAGTAGTTATGTGGAACAATATATCTCAACAACTATTTCCACTAAAATTATCATCTAGCAGAATTTTCTAAATTTTCTTCTTGATTAAGTGAAAATACAACTGAACTCCTTATGCATTTTAATGTTCCTCCCTACCATTGAAACTTTTTTGCTGTAGCCTACATTCCTACCCAGTTTCCCGAGTTGTAGCTAGTATCACAAGCTTATCGAAGTGACATTCTAGTAGGTATCTGAATGCATCGAATAGTTAGGTATATCTTTACGATAGTTTTTTTTTTATGGGCTATCATACTTATACTTATTTCACAAGAATGAAATATATTACTGGTACCCATTGCATAAGTAGGGGATCTTGGGCCTATGTAACCTACCTAGTAAATAAAATTGGCATTTGAAGCTGTGTGTTGAATTTGAGTCACTTTGGCAACACCATCACTTACTAGGGTACACGTATATCTAGCTAACGAGTCCAATACAGTGTGAAACATGCATCCTGGAATCCAATGTTGGCCATGATTAAGCAAGTTTTAATTAAGTTTTTTTATAAAAAGGCTTGTTAAATGCTACATTCTAGTTTGCAAGCTATTCTGAAATACTGAATTATGTTTTTTGTAGTTTGTTGTATGCAATCCAGAAACCTAGTTATATATCCATCCCAGTAACTATAGCATAGAACTTAGGCAACGTCGTGGAGTTTAATTTCATATGAAATTAGATTATTTTGCTTGACATACAGTAAGAACTAGTGTATACAGTATCCATTGTATGAAACTGTATTATTGCGTGCTATAACAATTTAAATACCGAATATGTTATTAAGGTTTGTTCTGGAACAAATAAGAACGTAGCAGACCACTACCGAACTATTATTGTAAGTACAACTTGGTATATAAAACTATTGTAATGATATCTAGTTTCCTTCATACTGGATAGTGTGACTGAGCTCCACATTTCAGCCTATAACTATAACAATGACCTTCGAAAAGATAAAAGTGGTTGGTTGTTCAGGATGAGAAGGGCAATAAATTGGTACTCCAAAGTTTTGTTGTTCCGTCGGTAACTTTTTATCATTAAGTGCACATATATATTGAACACACACCAAGAGCACAGCACTAATGAAATAAAACAGTCATATCTGCAAAATATGAGGCTGAGATGACGTGGCTATGACTTACAATTCTGATAGCTAATATTCAGTGGATTTAGTAAATTCTTACTAGTTTGTGTAGAGTTATAACTCTGTCAGTTTAATACCTATGCATGAAGTTTACGAGACAAAACTCACTATTTTGCAGTGCGCTACTTGGTGATTTGCCTACGCTGAATGTACTCCTATGAAAGAGATTCTTTAGTCCACTTACAGTAGGCAGACTACGTAACTATGTTAGTGCAAGATATCACTTAGATACAGGTTCACCTAAACATTTTGAATAACTGTTATGGTTTCGAGCGCTAATGGTTATACATATATATATATATATTCCAGAAAGAATACGCGAGCTTAGCTGACAGCTAACTTGGTACGCAAGGGACACTGACTACAACCCCGGGACGAACAGAGAGAAGACCGAAGCTGGCAGATGGTAGAGTGCATTATTCGGAGAACATAATAACGAATCAATCCAAAACACATGAATAGTACACATACGAAAAATGACCTTGCCCCCAATTTGAGACATTTGCATAATAAGAGTAGATTAACCAATCAGCGATTTACATTACAATAGGGGCCGAAAGTAGACTATTAGTCATACCGTAAAAATGGTATGGGAATGACACGTTAAAATGTTCAGATCAATAACAATGTTTTATACAAAACTGAGGCATCACAAAAGTAACAGCGTGTCACTGTTTACTAAGCCAAGTAAACAAATGTAAGCTAGAGTTACCTACATCCTCAATGACCATGGTTTGCTCTCATATTATGAGGATGAAAATTGTTCTTTCAGAGTACTGATTATAATGCTACTTGCTTTTGTCATTAACCAATAATGCTGGGTGATGATTAAAGGTTTAATGAAAGTTTGGGCAGCAGCAGGATACGAATCAGCTACCACTGGGTTCCCGTCTCACTAACGTACAAGATCCCACTAGAAATCAGGCAGATAAGAGTGCTGCATACAATTCTTTTACAGTATGCATCTGAATATTTTGCGCTCACCAATGAAAAACATTGCAGTGAAAAGGTGCAATGAAACAAGTTTTCGGCATTGTAGTCTTTTCCTACACTTTATTACCTTAAGATAGAAATTTATGCAAATAATGATCCGTAAGCTCCACATTCAAACAGGTATCTAGACTTCAAGTTAACTCATCCTATATCAGTTAATGCAGGTTTAGTTAAATGTCTAAGTGATAAAGCAAAAAGACCTAAACAAGGAACTGAAGCAAATTAACGAAGCACTAATAGTTAGTAATCATCCTCTACAGTTTATTAAGAAATTCGTATAATCACACAAGAAACGAACAGGTAACAGTAACACGAGTACGAATAATAACGATAACACACCCTCCACTTTGTTACCCTATAAGGAAACTCCATCGGGATCCTACAAACTCACTCAGAGGTGAGTGTTGTCGGCTGCCTTAAGGATCCGATAGGACCAATTCAGCAAAATAACCTATTCTGTCAAATCCCATATGATGACTGTGATGTCAAGTGCATAGGTCAACCTAGCCTAGTTGATCGCGGTCGGTTAGAATAGCCGAACATAGGAATTTAGATAAATATAGAATGGCAGAACCGAATAAGATCAATAATGTAGAAGGAGACTTGGCTATTGCAATGGATACATTAACACACTACACAATAGGGTGGGATATAGCTACTATACTTTAGTCTAATATAATTAGGTGGAGGGAGAGAGAGGGGGAGAGAGGGATTGATTTCTGAATTTTCCTCCGTCGAATCAACATGCAACACATGTAATGAAAAAGACACAACACCAATATACCAGAGATATAGGAGATTTTAGTACCAATAGAAAGAAAGAATAAGATGTGATAGGATAATCAAAAAGCAGATGTCAAAAACAATGTATGATTATGAGCAATATTTTTTGCTAGGAACGTCATCAAGTAAATAATACTGTGTGTTATAAATCAAATAAACAAATCGAGCATGGAATCCATATTGGTTTGTTTATTTGATATATCAAACACATACAGTAATATTTGCTAGATGGCGTTTCGCAAAATATCTTCCAGAGACTCCCCATATATGATGAATCATTCCTGGACAAGGATTCTGTATGCGATCTCTCCCTCCACCCATAATCACACTGTAGGATGAAATACGGTGACAATTGTAAAATCCAACATCCTTATGTTGAGGGGATGATTCGTTACAGAATCTTTGCTCAGTGTATCAACACCTAATACATGTAACAGGAATGATTCATGAGATATTTTTACCATTCCTACCATTAAAAGTAAAGTAAAAAGAACTTCAGGTTTTACTTTTATATCAAAACAATCTGTAAAGCCCTATTCATCTGTCTTTTCTTTTTTTTCCCCTCAAGGTTATGTATTTCAATCAAATTTAGATAGACTATTCGGTCAGTCTGCAACTGAAAAGTACACCACTTTTTATACACAACATGTTAGAAGTAAAACTGGTCAAGAGGTTAACAATCTTTTAAGCGGTGGTAGCAAACTACAATATGAGAACGAACGTCCATTCCCAAGTCATGTATATCCATATATTCCATCTGAAATTAGCGTTGAATATATTTGTTTCCTAGTTAGTTTGTTTATGCTGACCATACAATATGCAGCACCATTTTATTTCACAAGTCGTATCTTCTGCTTCCTATTCTCTATGTATATAGCGCTGACAAGCATGTTCTTGCTGATAGATGTTGAAACAATATCAGTACTATATAAATTGAATACTGTTGGTATTCGTGATCCTGGGGGATCAATAGTTATCTTTATTGATTCTGATGACAAGTATATAACACCATGGTACTGTGTTCTTTTAAGTTCAGCCGGTCTGCCTCCAATAATCATCTGTCTTATGGCTATTTATGCCTACGGTGAAACAAAATTCAAAGAAGCGGTAACTAATTATGCTCAACTTTTGATTGCGGGAGAAATACCACCCATGAATACGTATTCCAATAAACCTAATCCTTGTCTTTCAACAAAAGGAAATGATTACGATACAACAAATCATAATCCAGATTCTAATGCTACCACAGAAACTATGATTGGTGAACAGGTTGGCATGGAATCAGCCTATCAAGAAACTATCGTAAATTTGCCGATTACACTAGCAGTGACAACTAAACTCTGGAGACCACCACCAACAAATCGAAAAAGTGGTAATGCAGTAAGAAGATCTAATACTCCTCTTCCTGGTGGTCAGTCACAGAACAACAACAGTGAAATATCAGCTTCACTAAAACGTAATCGTGGAATCCCATTATCAGCGAGTACAGAACTAACTAATTCAATGCATACACTAAACGAAACAAACAGTTCTTCGACAAAGTCAACTCTGCCTAGATGGTCACGTATCGGATTGAGTTTAGTGGCGACGTTAACCTTTATTTGGCTTTTAGCAATTCGTATCTATTTAATGAGTTCAGTATTGAGGTGTTATTGGAAAACTGGTCTTGAAATTGCTTTGACAGATACTATATTGACAGTTCTTTATTTAATATGCTGGCTTATTCTATGGTTTGGCTTGAGTGTTAAAACTGCCTGGCGCTTTCGTTTGCTGCATACAGGCAACTACCTTCCCTTAGCTCGCAGCAGAGATAGCTATCTACAAAAGGGAATTTTCTCCACTGGATGCGATAACCCAGTATTCGGCCCTCCAGCATTGCATCAGTCTTTACAAATGAATGTGAATGGTGCTTATCCAAATTTATGGCCATATGTTTCTTATCCACCATGGATCACTTCTGGTACAATGATCACAGCAGGTCTGCCTGTAGGAACAGGTGGTGAAGTTCAGCAAGTGGGCAATGCGGTTAATGGAGTAACTGCGGGTGGGGTTAATGGAGGAGATTCCCTTTATGGATGTTTTCCCGATCTCACTAATCATGAACAAAATCAGTCAGTTGACATGGCCAACCAGTATCATCCTCATTCACGTTGTATTTCCCTACCATCTGGACCACCGACCCTATCTGAAGAGTCAGATACGACAACAAATCAGCGCGATCGAAATGACTGCAACAGCAAAATCAAGTATTTCAGACCTGTTACAACACCAAGCCTATGTGGATCAACTTATCTAAATGAAAATCAGGGGACATCAACAGAAGTACATCAGCCTTATGCAGCATCTCAAGTTAATTTACCACGTAGTAGGACAACACAAGAAATTGCTTTCTGTGATGCTTATGAACAGTATTCAGGACAAAATTCCAACAGAAACAGAGCTAATAATGGTAATTCGCTTATAACTCATCAGAAGCAAGGAGTAACATCAATGGTACCTGAACCAACTTATGCTACACTGGCAACTTTATCTAGACCATCCACACAAAACCATGCTTTTAGACCGAACTCTGTAACACCTTTAGATCCTCATAACAGGGAGAAGACATCACCAACTAATCTTTCACGTAATATATCCTACCGACGTCCATTTACTCGAGTTACTTTTCAAGATATTGATAATAATTTTTCTGGATCAAGAATTATCATCAACGATGGAGCAACTGGAAGTAGTGACAGTGGTGTTTGTACTAATGGACATGGTTCAAGCATTCAGCAGAATGGTAATCATATAGAGAAGCATGATAAAAAGGGGAAAATTAAACCTGAATTATTTAACATGTTTGAATCGAATATATATCAGAAATCAAGTGGACAAAATGCTTTTGATAACAAAAATTATTCATCTATACATATGAAAAATAACAATTTATTCAACAGTAGTAACAATATCATACATAATGATAATGATATTGAAATGTCTACTGATTTAACAAGTTTTGCAATGAAATCAAATCGTAAACCAGATGAATGCATTTCTTATATAAATCATCATGATACTATAGACAATCTTCAACGACATTCTCATCAACCAAATTCACTTGATCCCGATGATCGTTTATGCAGTCAAGTATAACTTATATTCAAAAGGATAAATACACATATCACTCTACAGTATCATACTTAACAGCTGATAATATAGCGCATTTGACTTATTGTAAATTAAGCTTCCTTAAATGTATTTATTGTCAATGTGAAATTTTTATGTAAGACTTTACATCCATTTAATTACTCCCATCTTTTGCATTCTCCTCTACATAATCTGCTTACACAAAAATATATTTTTCAGTTAACATTTTACACATTATATATAATTGTCTTGTAAATCTCACTGTGAACAAGAAGTATATATTCATTTATTGCTTTAGGAAGTGTTTTGCAGTCATCAGCCATGCACGAAACATGAAAGTAAATAAACTTACCTCATTGATATTAATCAAATACTTCAATATTCCATTGAAAACACATACCGTTTTGTTCAGCAGGTGTTAACTATTTCATGCACCAAGATTAATATACAAAAATCAGTTATTGTCTTCTATTTGTTGTCTGTTAATGTGTTGTTATCTTTCCTCTTTTATTTCATATCTGTCTGCCTGTTAGTTTGCTTATCCGGTTATCATATCTCACATCTATCACATTGTATATACTCAATATATTTTCATCAATTTACTTAAAACATCAGTTTTAGTTCTCGGTATAAATGATTTCGGATGTTAAATTTGAAGTTTATGAATTTTAAAACAGTGTTATACATTTATAGGACCGTAAGTTTCCTTATAGATTATTGGACGTCAAATTGGGTTTCTTGCTTATTACCACACATCAATAATTCATTTTGGAGGTTTGTGAAGATATATTGACTGTTTTCAGATTGATATTCATTATGGACTAACATCATTTAGAGAATTACTGGGAACCTGAAGCACTGAATGGTTGTTTCATTTTAGCGCAGGATTTCTCACCAGTGCGCACCTATGACCCCGCCTCACCAGAGATCGAACTCAATACCTTCAGATTACACAGCTAGCACGTTACTGTATCGGATTCCAATAGTCCACATTTCCTACTTCATGAGATAGTTGTCAGAATTCGGCATACAGACGTAATGGAAAGATTTCGTAAAGGATCCTTAGATTCATATACAAAAGAAATAGTTGCTACTCATTTGATTTCGATATAATATACGTCACCGAGTAGGCAAAATTTTCTTTGAAATTCGCTTGGTGTATTTTCTTTACACCTACTTATCCCATTGTCTATAGCCAATAGGATTATCTTATCCATTCTCTTCTCCATCCTACCTGAAAAATCCAGCCACAGACTGATAAGTATCTTAACAACATCGAAGTAAAGTAAATACATGCAGTCAAATGTTTCGATTATCGTTCTACATATATTTTATCCACTGTTAACATAAAAATACTAATAATGCTACATAGAAGTGCCATTCGCCTGCATAGCTAGAGTAGGAAGGTAAAAACGCAGCACATCAAAACATGGAAAGTAATTTAAACAAACATAGTGAAGTAGATATAATCATGTGAAAACTTTAAAGCATATACTGCGACAAATACTGGAAAACAGTTTCTATGCAAACGTTCTTTACCATAACTCTTACGAAGGCTGCGGTATCCCCATCATTCCCTAAAATTTCCTCAAAACATGCAGAATTTCGCATACTTCCTCGAAAATTCACCAGCCTCTCCAGATTTTCCCCAATTCTCCACAGAAATACCTCAGAATTGTATGTTTGAAAAGTGCTTATAGGTTTGGTGGTACGGTGTTATTACCCGATTGAGCTAGAAGACCCAACTGCTGACCTTCAATCACCCAGTATCACTACAAGTCCTCCATACCAGGATTGTCTCAGATAGCCAAAATTAAATCTGAAAATAGTGACAGTATGTTTGGAAACTTCTAACAGGTCATAAATCTCATTATTCTCGAAATGCAAATCCATGCCTGCCTCGTACAGGTTGTCTGAGACATTAGCGCTATCATAATAATCATAACCTAATGTGAAGGATAGTGAATTGAATAGTGGATCCTAGTAATATAGTCTGAACTATTTAAACTTTCTTCTAATTTTCGATGGTGTTTAAAATCGCGGCACTGTGAACTTGTGTATTACTTTAACGATTTCTGGTGGTGTTACAGAACTTAATTTATTATTATTATTTATTATTAGTCCCTTGGGTTCTTAATGGAACATACGTCGTCAGTAGCACGTCTCCACTCCACTCTGTTCTCTGAGATCTTTTGAACCTGGTTCCACGATAGCCCACAAGCTCTCATTTCCTCCTCACACGATCTCCTCCATGCCACCCTCACCTTGGACACCCAACTCGTCGCTTCCCATGGGGATTCCACTCGAGCAACTGGCCTGATGCTTGATGTCCCCAGTCGGCCTTCTCAGTGTATGCCCAATCCATCTCCACTTCCTCCTGCATATTTGCTGCGTGATAGGTTCTTGGTTGGTTCGTTCCCAGAGTTACTTGTTGCTTATTCTTTCTGGCAATCCATCTGATCTTCAGTAGCGAGCCAGCGTAAGCAGTTGTTGATGAATGTCTGTAGTTTATTGGAAATCCCTTTCGTGACGCGCCAAGTCTCTGAGCCATACAAGAGCACTGACTTGACGTTGGTGTTGAAAATCCGTATCTTGTTCCGCATGCTGAGTGCAGTGCAGAAGATCTCCACACTGGTTGCAGGCTAATGAACACCTGTCTTGCTTTTCCTATTCTGACTTTGACATCCTCGTCTGTGCCACCTGTAGTTGAAACAGTGCTTCCTAGATAAGTGAAGGAGGTTACTTCCTTCAAGTTTCTCCCGTTGATGGTGACTGGAGTTTGTTGTTGTTGTTGTTGATGGTGGTGCGGTATCTTCATCACTTCTGTCTTCTCTATATTCACCTGAAGTCCCGTCTTCGCTGCCTCTTCTATCAACTTGTTAGTTTTTGCCTGTAGATCTTCAAGTTTGTGTGAAATGAGACACAAGTCATCGGCGAAATCCAGATCTTCTAGGTTCTTTTCCGCAGTCCAGTGCATCCCCCTCTTCTCACAGCTCCCCACTGTTTGCTGCATGATCCAGTCAACCGCAGTCATGAATATAATGGGGGATAGTAGGCAATCTTGTTTCACTCCTGTCTTCACTTCAAAAGCATCAATGAGCTTCCCATTGTGAATTACTTGGCATGTGGCCTCTTCATATAGTTGTTGAATGAGGCTACAGCATTTAATGAGTATGTATAAAAGTAATACTGACAAGAATTCAAGGAGAACGAATCGCTTTATTGTAAACACTGCTGAAGACATTCGGTGTTAAACTGAGTCCTACATAATAATAAAGGTTCATTACCAACAGTCTATAGATTGATGATTCACTAAATCATACTCTGAGGATTTCTGATAGTTCACCTCATATTGAAGTGATTGCTGATAATATTGTCCAGAAAAACAATGAACCCTTCATGATTCATCATTCTATCTCTGAGAACCCAACGTGAATAGAAATACCCACTTGAGATACAAGCATTTTCCACTGTGTTTGAAAATAGGTAACATATCTAAGTACAGGCTCATTACCCTGACATCTTCATGTTTTCAACCGCTCAGTCAGATGAATAAACCAAAATCTTGACACATTGCACAAAAGTGTGAAAATAAAGTTTTTTATGTTTTAAAACTATAAAAATGAAGCAAGTTGTGTTTAAAGACCATTGATACATATATAAAGAGGCTTCACTTGGCTAAGGCTGAACAGACTAAGTCGTTTATAACTCAGTCTTTATTTCAAGTTCTTATTCTTCATAGACTGACATCAGTCGGGAGAACAAAGGAAACCTGGGAGCACTGGACAGCTGTTTCATCCTGGTATGGAAAATGGACTACTGGATTCTGATCCAGTGGCTCAGTGGTAACGGAACCTGAAGGTTGCGGGTTCGATCCCTGGCAGGATCGTGGGTGCGCACTTCTGAAGAGTCCCACACTAGGACGAAACAGCTGTCCAGTGCTCCCAGGTTTCCTTTGTTTCTCCAACTGATGTCAGTCTACGATGAATAAGAACTTGAAATATTTCCAAGTCGCCGCAACTTCCTCAAAATTCAGCCATTATTCTTTCATTAACAAGTAACTTTGGTGTGTTTTCATGCGATTTCTGCTATCATACTTCCTAATCACCAAAAGAGTTACATGTTTGTGCATACTCAAGCCAAGTTTACACCTCATGATATGGATAACCTTAGCGTTGAATGTCATATATTTGTACTTCTCAACAGATGAGAAAAACTGGATGTCTTTTTATTGACTTTCTGATGTTTAGTGCCTAAAGCTTTATGAAAGTCATGGTAAACTAGAATTTATAATGTTTAAAATTTCATCTGATAATTTACCGAAACTTTTCTACATGAATAATTAACATTTTTCAAGCGGCTGATAAATGATGACAAAAATGTGTAATATATCAGGTGTGATAAGCGTATCCTTTACAATTTAACGCTTGCATATGACTACGATTTTTATTGAAAGTGCGTTGATTATACAAGTCTGTGAAGATGGTTTGAAATTGGGTCATTTCTGTCTGGACAATTTTGATCCACTTTGTTTAGTCTTAGCTAACAGTGGGATTTAGAACACGCGTTTCGCCCTATTTGGGACTCGTTAGTTACATGTACCTGTATCACAGAAAGTGGTGGTTTTCTTGTTAAGACTCAAATTCAACGCATACCCCTTTAAACATTACCACATTATATATTAGGCTACTGAGGTACGATAGCAATCTCTCACGCCAAAGGCATCAATTTTTATTTGTTGATACCTGTATTATCCCTCTGTTGGATTACGAGATTCAGTTGATCGACCTTTGTAGCGATTCATGCTGTTTTGAGGATACCTCACCATTGCCTGAAAATTCGTTATGTTGTAGTTTGCTTGACAGTGGCTAAAGATGAAATTTAAGACTCACGTTTCAACCTACTTGGAGCTTGTCATTTGGATTATATTTCATTTGAAGCTAGAATATGCGTGATTCATAAATCAGAGGTTTTCCTCAATTATTGTACTGACTTGAAAGAATAATCCACAACTAAACTGCAATGGGACGCCTCTAGTACGTATTGTTAATAGTTATTGAACTAAATCTCAGGTTCTGTGAGGTAAAAAATCCCTTATTATGTATAATACTAGCGTAGATAAATAGTTATGAAACTCTAGTCAATCAGAAATGCTACTTGTCAGCCAGATTATATTCGCTGAAGTTCTGGGTAGTAGTTTAAACCACTTAAAATGAGTTCATCAAAAGTTTTTCTTCATTGGTTCGGCTCAGGTGGCTGAAGTCTTCAAACCGCTTCTAAATTAGTCAATTATTAGAGTGAACAAACAATAACTGAAGTCAAAGCAAGTGCTTACAAGATTCACACTCTGTGATGAGAATGACACTACTAAGTGTAATCTGACTGTGAAATTAATTTGTAATTTCCTTTGAAAACAAAAATTCTGAAACTATAAATTGTGGCTTTGTCGAAATTCATAGGATACAAATGACTATCTGTTGCTAAGATCATTTAATTAAAGTTATAAGCATCAATAGTGACTAATCAGAATGGCTTAAAACTGTATATACTAATCGTCAGTGTGCGCCGTATGGTTCCTCTGATTTCTTTCGTGATAAATTCAACC